CTCCTTTTATTGCTTAGTTTCAATTCGATTAATATGAGAATCTCACAACTTAGTTCCTACTCCTCGTGGAATTGACCCTTACTCATCGCTACTACTAGTTAGTAGAAGTTTGTCAAGGAAAGTTTATAAATTTAAATTTGTCGCGTCGCGACGCGCGGTCATATAGCCCCCACCAATTTCTACCGCATGAACTAACTCCTTGATGTGTCTTTAACATGTTAGCCTAAAAACCCATCGCAGGATTCTACACTGTGTTTATCACAACGCCTTGCAATACAGAAAATAGCATAAATAAAATCTAAAGTAGTTGTATCTATAGAAAGTCCAAACTCAACCAATGCGCCAATACCTCATCAAAATGTGCATTCACATATCCCAGTGAATTCAAGTTATCAGTCACAATATTCACTTTGGGTCTTTTCCAATTGAGAGGCATCTAGGAACTGATCCTACTCTTGGCCTCTTTAGTTGTCGATTCATTCTTGTCAAGCTGCTCGGGAGTTGGGTTTGGTGGCGGCCCAATTGTCCATCTTGGCCTCGAATAGCACTTTAAGAACATTTTATATCCCTGATCTCTAGCTTGAAAAGTACAAGGAAATCCCAAATGGAATGAGAGGAGCAATTTTTTTTTTTTAAAAAACAAATGAGTGCTAGATATCAATTTATACAAAAAATGACAAAAACATGAGAGACATTTTCAAAAAAGAAGGAGAAAGAAAACTGAGTGTTGGATCTCAATTTATTAAAAAAAAAACGTACAAAAGAAGTCCTTACTATTCATAATCCCTAACATTTGTAAATAGAAAAAATGGTTTATGAGTAACAACAATGTCGTGCGGCTCTGATTTATGTTCATTTTAAAACCATTACAATCGTGGCTAAAGCAAAGCACCATCTTCATATGTGTCCATAGGGCAAAAAAAAATTAGGAAATGACACAGAAATAAGAACAAAATAAGAGGAGATATATTTCTAGGACAAGAAATACTGGGGAAGAACGGTAAATCAAACAACATAAGAGGAGACAGATATAATGTGAGATTAAAATTGAGTTATAGTCGTGTCTTGAACATGGGAGAGAGTAGTCTAAAAGGTGGGAACTAGACGGGGAAAGGGGCATTTTTTATTTTCAATAGCGCTACAGCCCTTATCAATTTCCACTGCATAAGCTAACTCTTTGATGGTCTTTGACGTGTCAGCCTAAAAATCCATCAACAAGATTCTACATTGTGTTTATCTTCTCAAGTACCTTATAAGGGTTAAGGATTATATGCTAGTTTACCAGGCAAACAAATTTCTGTCTTTGGGTTACCCTGATTCTGATTTTCAGTCAGACCGGGATGAAAGAAAATTTACCTCAGGATATGTGTTTACTCTGGGAGATGGAGTGTAGTTTGACGGTGTGTCAAGAAAAAATGCATGGCAGACTTTACCATGGAAGGCAAATATGTCACAGCCTCATAAATATTGAAAGGGGCTATATGGCTGGACTTGAAAGTGGTTCAGAGTTTTTCCATGGAGGTCATAGTCTATTGTGATAACAGTGGTGCAGTAGCAAACTCAAAGAAGCCACGAGCCCATATGACAAGTAAACACATTGAGCGCAAGTATCACATGATACTAGTCATCGTAGGAAGAGGAGAAGTTGTGGTTTCTAGATAGCATCAGAGGACAACTTGACAAATCCTTTTATGAAAAATATAAACTAAGTACCAGTCAAAGAAGACAAGGCTTTCTTGACTAGGAGATCACATCCATCACAATCCATTCTGAATTTAAGGTTTACTGTAAGTGCTTCAATTTCTTCATGTGCTTATGGCCTCTGCTTATCACCTCAGATATGTACTCCAAAGTGCCTAAGGCACCCATAATGTGTTTTGATTTAACTTGATGAAGCAAATGGGAGTATGTACTCTCCACCAGTGAGTTTTTTTAGTTTCTCCTTGTCTTGTATTGTTCTGTGATAATTAGGCTACCTTCAGTAGGTCTCTGTTTTGAATTCAATTCAGGATTTAGCTCGTTCATTCGATCATGTAGTCGTTTGTACTTATGTGTTATTAATGAATTCTATCATCCCAAAAAAAAAAAAAATCATTTAATAAGCCCAAAGTAGAAAAGCTAAATCACAATTCTTAAAATGAATTAAATAAATTAAAATAGAAATACTAAATAAAGTTTATCGGTTGTCTATTAATTGGATGAGGTTGGAAGAAGTCCTACATAGAGAAACAAGAAAATGGTATTCACCCTTCTCCTATGCACAAATATTTCTAGTTTCTCCAAGCTTGGTATCTTTTGTATATAGCTAAATATTACTATAGGAAACTTATTAGAGTAAATCATAACAGAACTCACAAATCAGCTGTTATTCAATGCAGTTTTGGCATTACCAAATTCCTTTAGGGTGGGTTTGGTTGCTAGTGGGTGATTGGGCCTGATATAATCTTTTTGATAAAATCTAAGGCTATCCATCAATTCAACTAGTCTAATAACTTTGATAATGATATCTTTTAGGTTAAAACTGCTTTTATGCCCTTCATTCCAAATTCAATTTTCATAATTTGCCTCAACACACAGTAACACCATTATCGCTTCATCGTCTTTCTAAACTGTCATCATCTCATCGCTCTCTGCCGCCGACTGCTCTGTCGTGTGCTACCTTCACCACCACCGGCTTTCATTGTGTAAAGCCACCCAACCCTAGCCCCAATCCTCCTGACCCCAGCCCCAATCCCCCGCTCCTCCCGACACCAAATTTCTTGTGCAAAACCACCCAACTTCAGCCCCAATTCCCCGCCCCTCCCTACACCAATTCTATGTTCAAAACAACCCAACTTCAGCCCCAATCCCTCACCTCTCTCAATTTTTCATCACAATTTCACTTTCAGATTCAAGAGCCGAATTGTTGGGATAAATAATTCGCTCACGGCCACCGGCGAACTCCCCCGCCATATTCGCCGCCGCCTTCGAGACTGACGGGCCAAGGAAATTGGCCGATCTAAAAGTAAGCTTCATCCAATACGTAGAAAGCTTAATTGAAAAGAAGAACTTAATTTTCACCCGATCAAAGGTGTTGTTTATTTACGAAATTAAAAAAATAAAAAGAAAAAGAAGAAGAAGAAGATGTAGAAGGAGAGGGGTTACGGTATCTTGCTGGGCACAAATTCAAGTTCACGAACAAAGGAAGTTAAGACACGAGAGTTATTAGATTAGGGCTATTTTGTAAATTTAAATAAAAAGTAGAGTTGGATTACACATCCCACCTATGAGGTGGAATACCTAATACTAAAAGTTGTTGATAATTCACCAGGCCATTCCATTTTAACGGGCTTTCACTACCCGAACCAAACATCTTTATAGACAAGAAATAATAACAATAGGCCGGATATCCAGCCCAATCCAGCTAACCAAACTCACTCTTAGCATACAACTTGCTTCCAAAATTTCACTCTATTCCATCAATACCTGCAATTAGCACCTACCTTATTCATGGAAGAATTAGTGTTTTATCACTGTACACAAATATGGTCATAGGCCATAATATTGAGAAAAAGAAAGAAATTAGACGAACATACACTTTCCTCCAAAAACTTTCTCCCTGAAGTTGATTTTGTTGGACCTTATTTCCACTCCAGAAGCCATCATGTGGCTAAAGCCAAATAATAAGTTTCAACTAGACCCATGATCCTAAATATTCAACCAAAAATGTCCATCAACACTTACATAACCTAATAGTAAATAAATGATGAAATCTTTCAAACACTTCAACAACAAATAAAAAAAAAAACCAAATAATAAAAAATCCCACATTAAAAAGCTCCAAGAACATAATATAACAAAATTTCATAAATAAAATATGTTACAAGACCCATCTTTTTTCCAACCATCAACATTAATCCAAGTAGCTTCCAAATTCAACATAAAGAAAGAAATAAAGAAAAATAGCGCAATAACATGTTTTGGCCTTGCCATTTCTGTGTTATTTTATTGTGCATGTAGTCTATGACACTACTACGACACTTGGATAGTGAAATAAAAAATTCACGAGAGAAAGGTTTCAATACCAAATCCATTCCCATGAATGTGGTTTTCTGCCCCTAATACGATAGTTAAATTAAAAAAGGCAACTAACCAAAGTGATTTAGTTGTTCCGCAAATCAATATAACAGATGTTCTTGACAAATTTAATAAATAGAAACTTTACCAAATAGAAACGGACGGATCTCTTGGGATGCTTGAAAAATTCATTTGTTGGTTTTATCAAGAAAAAATGTTTAATCAGAATACAGAATTAGAAAATCCAGTAAAATTGTGTTGATATTTCACTCATATAAATTACAAGATGCAAATTTTGTTTGCCTTTGTTTGTATAGATTTATATTTAATGTTGGGTTTATAAACCATATTTTCTACTATAAATTTATATCTAATTTATTTTTAATTTATTATTAGTTTATCTCATAAACCAGATTTTTTACTATAAACTATATCTAGTTTATTTTTAGTTTATTATAGATTTATGAACCATTACAAGAATATAAACTGTAAATTTAAATTTATATATAATTTATTTTCAGTTTATTATACATGGAAAATTTATATATAGTATATTTTTGGTTTATTATAGTTAAAATTAATACTCTTATTCACACGAAGACGTTTTTATTTCCCTTAAGTCTCCCAAGGTCTTTTTTATTTGAAAATCACGCTCATGATGTTCTGTGAATTCTTTTAGATTACTTTCAGTTTATCTTAAATTTATTGCATTATCTCTTTACTTTATTAAAAATTAATTTTCAGTGTATTTTATGTTTATTATCTAATTTTTTTACTCATTTATAAAAAATTAAATAGACAAAAAAAAAACTTAATATAAACCATAGATAAGACAAAAAAAATACAATTAATAACAAAAAAATTCAACTCAAGATAAACATCAAGTGAAAAAAAAAGGAATATAAACCATAGATAAGACAAAAATATACAATCAATAAACATCAAATTAATATTCTTTTACACACAAACATGTAAATTTATATATGGTTTATTCTCAGTTTAGTATATAAGAATGCATACTCTAAATTTATGTATAGTTTATAATTACAATCTATCAAATTTGTTCTTCAAGTAGATAAATGTCCTGTTCTCAATCTCATCATCAAATTCCCAAATATTATTATCATCAACACACGAGCCAAAAAAGAAGAAGAAGAAAGAATATTTTTAAATCAAAACTAAACTAATAAATGTCAATCTTAAATCAACCATAAACCTGGCATATAAAAATAAATCAAAAATAAAATATATTTAACACACAAATAAACTAGCAAGTGTCAAGTTGGTCGATCGATGTACACAATTCAGAGTTCAAAGCATCTCGTCAACCTCATTAAATTGAGAAAAGAAGAAGAAAAAAAAATTGTCGTCAAAATCAATGACAAATGGAAATTAGACCCTTAAATCACATTAATAGCTTGATCTTGGCATTAAACGTATTAGGAAACAATATCTTTTACATTAACTAGAGTATTCTCTATAGTGGAATAAAAATCACCAAGTACCAGTTAGAAGGAATAACAAACAAGCATTCGTCCTTTGGGAAATAGAATAAAAACTAACCGTCTGAGGGGTAATTATCTCAAATAAAAACAATCAAATTGAAATGCTAACATTTCATTTATTTATGTTTGGGCCTAAATTGTGGTTGAAGATAATAATGAGCCCAGAGGGGCAAAATTAGTCCACTATCGACTTATAAAGGGCAGAGGGGCATTTTCGTACTTAAAAGTAGGGTCCTTCATATCTCCATTTCTCCCCTTTATACTAACCCTACCATTTTCCAGCACTCGCTCATATTTTTCTATTTCCCTATTGCGATTTCTCGAATAAAAAAAAATCTAAGAAATTTTTTAATTTTGTTTTTCATTCGAATTTGAAACTACTTTTTTCCTGCGTTTTTTTTTATTTCGTTTGATTTTATTTTCCACCTGATGTTTGTTTCTGTGTTGTGATGGATCTAGGGTTTTGAATGTGTCCATATCTTATTTCATCGTAAAGTGTGGGCTTCGTCGGTTATCCGCTCTGTTCTCGGACAATCACATCATCGACTGTGAGTGCCATTTTACTTATTTTTGGACCAGTGCATTTTGTTGTATTTTCATTGTCGGGTCTTTTTTTTTTCGTGCATTTTCTTGTTTCATTGATATTCAGAGTACTGATGCGTGGGATGAATTAAATATAAGAAGTTGTATTGATATGCTATTATGTTTAGATATGTGCGAGATTGTAATGGTTTTCTTTTTGTTGTTTTATTTGTGTTAGAATTTCGGAGTGTGACCTAGTTTTTGTTTGGCATGGAGTTGAAGTATCTGTAATTGAACTTATAATGTATGTCTTTACAATTGGAATGTAATTTAATGGAGGTACGAATTGATAAAAAGTGTTAGTGTTGCCCTGCCTAAAGTCCTGTTATGTACTGGTAGGCATTCATTTTTTTTTAATAATATCAAGACTGAAAGGGATTTGGGGAGTTAAAGTGAAGAAACTTGAAAGTGATGATGTGTTCTTTTATGATGCAAATATTACTAATTCTTGTTATTAAAGGACCCATTTTTTTTTCAAAGTTTTTCATTATTTTTGAAGAACTGAGTAGTAAATAGTTTGAGACCTATATTTATGAAGACCTCAGTGATATCACCTGTGAGCTCATTATATTGCAGAAATAGCCTTAAAATTGAAGAAGAATGTACTTGTCTTATATCTTTTCACTTAGGCCTTATCACGCTATGTTGATGCAAATGAATACATACTTGTAATACAACAAGCTTTTCGATCAAGTGGTACTTCCCATCCTTAATAAGGGTGTTGCACTAGTACAGCGGCACCTCTTGGTTGATTAGGAATTTTTTAGACTCCTCCTTGCCAGCCTCCCTCTAACTATTAAAACAAATGCAAGACTACTGGGAAGTTTACAGAACAACAATATTCTAATTGGGTTTCTTTGTTTCCCAGATATTTTCTTTTCATTTTTTTAAACACGTCGTTTTTTTAGTATTTTACTAACACAATATCTTATTCATATGATTCCAGGTAAATCTTTGATAAAGGGGTAGTTTTGGGAATATATAAGATGTCATCACCTTATGTCAAACTGGGAAACCGAACGCTCGATCAGTGGAAGGTCACTGAGCTGAGGGAAGAACTCAAGAAACGTAAATTGACTACTAAAGGATTGAAAGAAGAATTGGTGAAGCGTCTTGATGAAGCCGTCCGCATTGAGCAAGATAATTCTAAGGACGATGCAGAAAATGATGAAAATGACACAAACCAAACTGAGTTACCTCCTGAACAAGAAAAGCCAGAAACTGTTGTTCCTGGAGGAGGCAAGGATTTCACGGATGTAGGTATTAGCATGGATGAAAAAGCAGATTCAAAGCCTGAGCATGAGATGGATGATCACCGATCATTATTTGAAGGGAAGGTTGATGTTAGCTTAGAACAAGGGGCCAAGGCTGCTGAGCTGGAAGGGGGCAATGATATTGAAGCCGCTGCTTTAGAAACGACTGTCATAAGTGAGAAGGTTGAGACTGTTACTGTTGTGAGTAATGAAAACTTACAAAGTGATGGATCAACTGAAGATGCCAGTGCTGAACCTTCTGATCCTGAAACTCACTTTCCTGTGACAAACGAGAGCAGCACGCCTTTGGGATCATCTGGTGGACCAGGCTTAGAGGACAGTGGAACTCAGTGTGAAACCTTGAACTCATCTGTTCAGATGGAAAAGGATGATCCCAATTATCCAGATCTGGATTCCGGTGTCCAGCCATTGAAGCATCAGGTACTTGAGGTTGACACTGATTTAGGGTTTCAAGTAAAATCTGAATCTGTTACTACTGAATCTGTTTCCATTACTGAGCAAGTTGAACGTAAGGTAGATGTAATTACTGATAATGTCCCATTAGAACCCAGCAATTCTGTCCCTGATGGTGGTGAATCACATCCCATGGATGTTGAAGAGCCACTTGACAAAAAAGATGTTAAGGAGCCACTGGAAAAGAAAGATGTTGAAGGGCCTCTTAAAGAAAATGTAACTGTTGAAACTACTGGTGCTGACAACGAAGAAATGGTTGATAGTCTCAAGAACATAGATGTGGAAGATATGGCTAATGAGAAATTAAATTTAGATCGAAGTTCTGGTGATGATTCCATGGAGGAGGATATAGTGGAAAATAAAATAGATGAAAATGTGGAAAGATCTGGGAAGCCTTCTCAGAAAGAGGAGGACAATGTAGATGTTGTTAGTCCTGATAAACCTGTTAAAACCAGACTCGACAAGGCTGAAAATGAGGCTGTCTCCCCAGTGGGGTCATTGAAAAGGAAGTTTCTTGGTAAGTTTTGCACACCCTCATTTTATGTTCTTCCTGTTATTTTACGGTTGCTCATTTACTTATAGGCATGTTACATTTGATAGTGTCCAACTATATCCAAGTTCTGCCATTCATTTAGTAATGAAATTTGGCAGAAGGGGATAGAATGTTAATTTGGATGATGTATCCAGATTTTTCATTTGCATTGCATTTTCCAGCTTAGGTGCAGTCGATGCATGATTGCTTATTGTGTTCTGTTGTTGGGAGGAGAATATGCACTTGTGTCTTCTTAAATAGACTTTTGTTCAGCAAGTTGATGCTGAGATAAACTAATTACATCTGAAGGAAATACATGTTAATCGTACCTAATGCTATTTTCCCCAGTCTGTGATATTAATTTGAAAAAAGTATGTCTTGGGCAATTTGCTAATAAATCTGGTTTATACAAAGCCTATATTGGTTTTTACCATCAGAGATGGCCTATATGACCCAAGGTTTTTTAAAAGGTATTGGACACATTACTGTGTTGAGAAGGACTTTTGTACTTCTGATTTTCTTTTCTAAATAATCCAGATTAATACAGTTGATTTATATAGTGTCTGGAGAGGTATCAATGCATGCTCAAAAGCATTTCAGCACAGTGTTATTCTCCCTAACCTCGGTTTTTTTTTCTTCCTTTCTTTTGGTCCCCTTTTCCACGACTGCTGGAAAATATTGGTGATTAATCCTTGCAGACATTCCAGAAAAAGCACCAGTTGGGGATAATGACCCTGTCAAAAAAGCACGCAAGTGGAATGCCGAGGGCTTAAAAGCTCCGGGACCACAAAGTAGTAACAGAGTTATTTCCACTACGCCTAAGGGTTTATCTGAACCTGCTTTCAAGCCATCATCTGGAACTGATCCTGCAGTTAAGGAAGAAGCACCCTCAGAGCGTATTGGTAACTTGCATGAATTCCTTCTTGTCGTAATAGTTTGTTATGATTATCCTTTATTTCGTTTTCTGAAATACAATATGTTACATTTGCCTTTTATCCAGTTCCACCATCTTCGAGGGCCCCTACTAATTCTCTGCGAATTGATAATTTTCTACGCCCTTTTACTTTGAAACAAGTGCAAGAGCTTCTTGGGAAAACAGGCCATGTTACTGGTTTTTGGATGGATCACATTAAAACTCACTGCTATGTCTCTGTAAGTTTTGTTCTCACTTTGCACATTGACACCTCTCTTGTAATATTCCAGTGCAGATAATATTTTTTTATCTATGTCAACTTTCCACTGTGTGTCTGATTTAATGATTGTAGCACATAAGAATTCTTCTATTTCTTGCATCGGATGGTGGAAATGTGATATCCGTGATTGCAATTTGAAATTTTATAACAGTATTTTGTTTTTTCCCTTTTAACACGGAAAGACGATGTCTGGATTCTACTTCTCTAAATCTCAGTGTTTCTTACAGTATTTCCCCTATGTTCTATGCTTTGACCTTACCCCAGATACATAATCCCACTTAACTATAACAAATCACTTCACTTATGCAGTTTTCATCAGTTGAAGAGGCTGTAGGTACCCGTAACGCTGTGTACAACCTCCAGTGGCCCCCAAATGGAGGCCGACTGTTGGCAGCAGATTTTGTTGACCCTCAAGAAGTCAAAACACGGGTAGAGGCCCCAGCAACAACTGTACCACCACAAAACAACGTGCCACCTCAGCCTTCCCCTAGGCAGCAACCCCCAAGAAATCACCTGCTTCCACCACCACCACCACCACAACTGCCGCTAGCTAATCCTCCTACTCTTTCCCGGGACAACCGGCTGCACAGAGAAACTCTGCCACCTAGAGAGCACCCTATTCCGGCGAGGGAGCGGCTGAACAACCTCCCACCACCGCCGCCACCACCTCCACTGGTGGAGAAGGCTGAGCCACCGATTGTCACTCTTGACGATCTTTTCCGGAAAACTAAAGCCACCCCAAGAATTTACTACTTGCCATTGTCCGATGAAGAAGTTGCAGCAAAGACCAAGGAACAAGGGAAGAATGTTGTTAATTGAGTAGGGAAATCAATCTAGGCTCTGTTACTTGAAAATCGCAGAGCTCTCTATGTCCGTGTATCGGCTAATCTGATAGAATTTGGTAGTGAGAAAAAGTAAAAAATGGTAAGAAACGTATATTATAAAATTACGTGTTTGCAGGTCTGCAGGTGTCGTTCAGCTTTAAGGATGATGGTCGAGTTTTAAGAGTTTGCTGCTGGTGCTGTTTTCGGTTGGTGTGTCATTTTCATGTTTCGTTTAATCAGGAATTTCCAATGGGCTTTTGGATAGGTTTAATAAGACTCGAGATGGAGTTTATCATCTCTGGCGTCTCTGTTTTATGTCGCTTTACCCAATTGGGTATGTCCTGGTTTTAACCAGACTTAGACATAAAACCTTTGTGTGGACAAGGACTTGTGCCATCCCGTTGTTTTAACGATGAGAGATTTATTGAGGACTTCTTGTTTTAATTTCCATTAAATTCAGAGTGGGGTACTTCGAATGATGTTTGATTGTGTGTTCTTACTTCTTACTATTCACAATGCTTCTAAAATGTTTATTTTTTTAGTGTCTTGATGATGTTTCGTCATGTGAGGTGACCTGAATGATGTATGTCTATCCCTTGTTCTAGTCAGAGGTGCAAGGGGAAAAGATTTAAGATCTATGACACTCTTCAACTGTGGATTTGGTAGTAGTTCAGTTGCTTGCTTCAGTTTTGTTCGTAAGAAAAATGTTTAATACAAATCTTAAATTTTGAAGAGATGTATCTCAACACTTCAAAAGGGGTTTTTTTAATTTGGATCAGACCGAGTATGAAGGAGTTAATCTAATCCAAATGGAAAAGTGTAATGGGAATCTTCAACTAAATTCTTCACCTCTATGCCAGATGAGTTCTATACATCCTTAAATCAACTCCACATATACATACCGTAAATCAACTCCGCTCATTTCATTTACAACAGATTTCAGTTTAGGAATAATAGCATCTCATCAGCGTCTTAGAGAGTAGAGACCACAAAAAATTTCTGTTTATTCCTGTTTCTGATGATATAGGTAATTTGAGCTGAATATTTGCAGTTAAAAATTTCTGTTTATTCCTGTTTCTTGATGATATAGGTAATTTGAGCTGAATATTTGCAGTTAAAAATTTCTGTTTATTCCTGTTTCTGATGATATAGGTAATTTGAGCTGAATATTTGCAGTTAAAAATTTCTGTTTATTCCTGTTTCTGATGATATAGGTAATTTGAGTTGAATATTTGCAATTATTCCTTGATACGTGTATTCATTATGTGTCACTAAACATATTGTTGATATCCATGACCTTCAAATATTCTGCCTTGATGCTCACTACCAAAATACATAATCAATGAGCTTGAAAGTCACATCTAAATGCAATGTATTAATTTATAAATGGAGGAGACGATGATGAGGACCAATCATCTCTCATTTTCAACATTTGAACTCGCACTGAGACAACCACGTTAACACACAATCTCTAATAAGCCGTTGGGCTCTTTTTAGTGGAAATTGCAGTGGTGGTCGGCGCACCGAAGGGCCTCCGGGGTGCCATCGTGGCAACTGGTCATGAATTTCTATGTAAGGAAAAATGAACATCATCCATATAAGAAGGTACTATGGGAAAAACAGAGCTCGAACCATGTAAAAGAGAGAACAAAAATAATACAATTTTCAGATTGTGGGTCAGTGAATGGTCCAAAATCTAGCTCAAGATTCCATTTAACCTGCAAAAATAAAATGTTGACACAAAAGGGATCAATGGCATACAAATGAAAAGAAAAGGAGGAAAAAGTAAGAGAATAACGAAAACCAAAGCTTACGGTCCATCCACAAGATCTTTTTTAAACTACAAAGATATATGGACATTGTTTGTTCCTCCATAACCAATGCATTAACGACTCATATGTATTTCCACACGCCTGGCCTGAACCGGATAGCAAGTACAACCCGAGGAGGCAACACGATTGCTTCTAAATTGTTAGAATATCACTTGTGAATTGTCGCACATCGTTTATACATGGAAAATAGACCCACCTTATAGGTCTAATAGGTTACTCCTTCTTCCACCAATTGGTTTGGGATGGCACCCCACTTGGGCTTCATTTGGGTTTCCCTGCTTATGGTGCGCTTCATGTTAGTGGGACTGCACCCGTTTTTTCCCCGTTTCTTTCATGGTATCAGAGCAGGTTTTATGTGGGGCTATGACGTACCCGTTTATGGGAGCCTGTTTCTAGTAGGGCTTGGGCCCACGTACCCGTTTATGGGAGCTTGTTTCTAGTAAGGCTTGGGGCAACCAGCTCTATATATGGGCTTTGACTTCTTATTAAGAATTCACAAGTGAGGGAGCGTATTAAAATATCACTTGTGAATTGTCTCACATCATTTATACATGGATAATAGACCCACCTTATAAGTCTAATAGGCTACTCCTTCTTCCACCAATTGATTTTGGGATGGAACCCCACATGGGCTTCATTTGAGTTTCCCTGCTTATGGTGCGCTTCATGTTAGTGGGACCACACCCGTTTTTTCCCAGTTTTTTTCACAAATGTAATGTGATAAAAAAAAAAATACTTAATTTAAAAGGATACTAATAATATTGAGAAATTAGAGAGTGTTCTCACATAGTTTTAAATGGCAATTCAAGCAGGACGAGGTTGCTTATATACTGCGAGTGTTCACACTAGGGGCGGTACCGTAATTAACCAACTCTTTAAGTGTGAACGCAACAAACCAAGTAATTACGGTACCGCCCCTAGTGTGAACACTCGCAGTATATGAATCAACCTCGTCCTGCTTGAACACACTAGGGGCGGTACCGTAATTAACCAACTCTTCAAGTGTGAACGCAACAAACCAAGTAATTACGGTACCGCCCCTAGTGTGAACACTCGCAGTATATAAATCAACCTGTCGCCACGAGGCGAGGTGATTCTTCATGGCGAGGCCTCGCCTACAGCGCGACCTAGTCATTTGTCGCAGCCACAGCAGTTCCCGCATGCACTACAGCACGCGCCCATGCGCGTCGTCCACGCGCGCCCGCAGTCGTGCCTCGCTAAGCTCGTGCTCTTGTCCCGTGCCCAGCGCCCATGTGCAGCTTGCAGCATATCCGTGCACGCCTGCTGCCTCCCAGCAGCAGTCGTGCCATGTGCGCTCGTGCGCCAGCAGCACCCCAGTGCGCGACCTAGCGATTTGTCGTGCCCAACACCCCCGACCAGGCTAAGACCGAGGTCTCAGCGAACCCGAGCCGTGCTGGGCAGCCGCAACACCGGTCAACTCGAGCGGTCCAGCGAGCCAAACCGAGTTTGATCGAGCGCGGACCGATCGATTTGAGCCAGTTAAAAAGAAAACATTTCCAAGCCTTATAAAATTATCTGGGAACTCTAGACGAGCCTAGAATATCCGAAAAAAATAGGTTGAAGAATTATGTGCTCTTGTCTATTTTAATTTGACTGCCTTATGTGCTCTTACTTGTCTTAATGGTCGTGCTCTCTGCCTGTTAATCATAACTCTTAATAAAAAGAATAAAATAATTAAATTGTAGATTAAGAGGAGTCGAGCCCTCACAAAGACGCACGTGCATTCCATTCATTCAGTCAGTTAAAAGTGAAGGTGGGGAAGTCTATGTTTTATTCCTTATAATTATTGCGATTATTATAGTTGGTGTATGTTTCACGAATTATTATGTTTGCGCCTATGAGATGGCTGCGTGACCTGTACTGTGTTAAGTCGCGCCTATGAGAAGGCTGTGTGATTTGCACTGAGATTTAGTTGCACCTATGAGAAGGCTATATGACCAGTTATTTGTGTTACATGCTAATATTATGGTATCCATTAATTATATTGAATACCTGTATAGTATAGGCTCAAGGTGGGCTAATTGTTTTGCTCACCCCCCACAATTTATCCTTTCAGGTTGATCGAGTTGGCGGCAAACACGAACCAGCGAGAGGGGTGGTCAAAGAGTTTTTTATTTCTTTATTCTTCTGCACACTATTTCGAACATGCTTTAATTTTTCATGTTTTCTAGACCAAGTGATTTATAATTTAGTTGTTTTTCAATTAAAGACTAAGTACTCGTACGTTCTGCGTTGTCTTAATTGTTTTGGAAAGAAAGTAAGATTGGAGAAGTGATTTCCTAAAAATCTAAGTGTGAGTCTTAGGTTAAGAAAGAAAGAAAGAAAGAGTTCTAAAATAAGTACCCTAAGAAAATTTTTAAAGCTAAATTATTTTCGAAAAAGTTTTCAAACTTATTCTGAAAAATTAAGTGTTTCCTTAAAGATAAGAAAAGGGTGTTTATAGAAGTTATGCAGGATAGAATCATTACACGTGGCTAACTTATGTTTCTCCTATGACTATATGACCCACACGAAAAGTGTATTTAAATCCTAACAAAATATTGCATTTCATATTGTGTAAGGCCCACACAAAAGTTAGAAATCCCTATACACAATTGTAAGGACACTTTAGTCCTAACAAACAAATACACATTTTAAATTATTAAAATGCCATTAAATAATAAAACAATTGTAACATTTCCAAGGCTTTCTGAATTCATGCCCTCCAACTACTCCATTTACTCTTCCTCATTTTCTTTCATCCCGTGTTCTTTCCCCCAAATTTCCATGTTGTCTCCTATGCATGTGATATTACATAAAGCCCACACAAAAGTGGGACACTCATTAGAATTGTAAGGACACTTGTGTCCTTATAAACAAAAAACAAATAGATACTTAAAATTACTAAATAGCCAATAAAGGAATAAACAGCTCTAAACAAATAGAACTATCATTTTGGGTTAAGTTATCTTGGCCAAGTTTTTTTATTTGTTGGGCTGCTAATTTACTTTTCCAACTCATTTTTAAAAGGAGTTGATGCCTCTACTTTTAGTTAACGTGACCTCATCACTAACTCTCTTATGGTTTATTCGACGCTACCCATATGGGTACAGCCCACTTTTACTGTTAGCCAATCAGAATAAGCCATGTGGAATGCACTGAGTTTTGCCATTTCTCTCTTCTTTTTGGATTTTTGTTGGCTGAATCTATTTTATATTTTTGTTTCTAATGTTACTTTATCTACCATGGTTACCTTTGAGTTAAATATAATGATTAATTAAAACAGGCTGTACACAGCAAGATCTAAAATTTGAATTCGGGAGAAGACCATTTTTCAGCGCAACAAAAATCGTCCCAAACAAATTGCACTTCTTCTCCAAAAAATTGCAGTACTTCTCAAGACCATTTTTAATCGGTTGAAAATCGTCCCGTCTTCTCCAAAAATTGCAGTTCTACTCAGCTGTTAACAAGGTATCTTTTTTAATCATTTTATCAATGTTCGTAGAATATTGTCTTTTAAATTATGAAATTTTTATTCAGCTTTCTGTCTCTTTGATTAAAATTGCAGTGAC